ATATATACACATATATACATACATATACATATATATATATATACATATACATACACATATACATACACATACATATGTATATATATATACATGTATATATATATATATATACATACATATATATATACATATATATACACACGTATATATATATATATGTGTATATATATGTGTGTATATATGTGTATATGTGTATATATATGTATATATATATAATCTCAAAAGACAACATACTACATGAGCTAAGACTAATGATAATTTGCTTAAAATAGATGTGATTTACTCACATGCGCCATATAAGGGCGTGTTTGCATTAACTGAGAAGATGCAGGTTTTTATTCTATTGCAAGTAGGTCATACATTTAATGTACAATACTTAAAAATGACTAGTTCCTGTATCTCCATGAGCACAATACAAGCTTAAAGGGTAGGTACAGATATTTAGAATTCATTTTTGAAATACGATGAAATACAATGCCACACAAGAAACATATTACCACAAAAGTATATACTTTATTTCAGGCCAATTTCAAAGTATCATATGAAGCAAGATATAATGTAACAGAATTTATTGTTCTAAAACACATGCACATATCTATCAAAAAAAAAAAAAAAAGAACAGATCATTACTGAATATAAATTCATTTCATGTGCATTTAGAAAACTCTAAATACAAAATCCTTTAACTTGTGTGATTAGTTCTACTGCTACAATGACAGTCAACAGCTAATACGCTCAGACAATTACACACTAAGTAAGCATAAAATCAGGTTTGTGTGACAAAATGCGGCATTGCATCAAAATGAAAACCGTAGCCGTGCAATACAAGCACTGTAGTGTACCACTCGTTTTAGTTGCATTGTTCTCACCAACACTGTTTAGCCATCTTAAATTCATCAACACATGATTTAATGATCAATAAAATCCAAACTAAAAAGAGGTTTCTCACACAGAATAAAAAAAAAATTCATGATCTCTGATCTAAAAAACAAAACAATATTGTTCCATCAAGTTAATGCCGCCAACTATTTGTTGGCAACAGAATCAGTGTGACACCCTCCAAGGACTCAACCAAGGGCATGCACAGCAAGCTGATTATTCAAAGGTTACTGCTGCAGTCATGCAAAGATGTAGTCATGGTGTAAACATCAAAATAACGTGATCATGAGAGAATTGTCAGTGTGTTGTCTCCACTGCAGCTGTAAGCAGTTTCCTACTCAGAGATAATGTAAACATGTGAGCGCTTATAGAAGAATCACTTACTGCTCTGTTCTGAAACCTCGTCCCTAAATCTCAGGGTTAGTCACTCAAAATAACCATCTTGTCAAAAAAAAAAAAAATCATAATAATCTCTCAGCTAGACCTATTCATAGACATTTCCATTAACACTTTAAACCTACATCATTTTCTCATTAGCTTATACAGTGTGTTCAGAGGCTGATTTACAAATCATACTGGTTCTGGACTCTGTGAAAATGGAAGCAAAATTAAGTGTTAGCGTCATTACAAAAAAAAACATCTTTGGAATCTGCCACAACAATTCCTGACTGAGATATCAACTGATTGTTTCTTAATTATTTCACACACAAAACAAAACCAAAAAAAAAAAAAAAAAAAAACCAACAATCCGCGTAACTCATCGCCGTCAGTCAAACCCTGGCCTTCTACACTACCCCTCAACATGGATCTCAAACCTGCTTCAACTTGTCCTAGCTGTAGTCTATATAAACCCCTCATTTCAACACAGAGCATCGCACAGAGTTGTTCCGCTCCCCCTTTAGGAAGACTGCTGTTGTAACTTTTGTATACTGTACATATTGTCACAAGGTTCAATTGATCAAAGAGCTGTAGTTTCTGATTTTTGCCAAAGAGATCTACCTTTTTGGTTACGGTTTAGGAAAGATAGTAAAAGCTGCATGTGATCATCAAAAAAAAAAAAACATCAACACTAATATGTATAAAGTAAAATCAGAGACAAGCAGTGAATCGGCTAAATGGTTAAAAGAAAAAGCCCAAACTGAATCATTCTGAGTCTTGGCAGACTTCATCCTGGTGAAGTGGTGTGCTGTGAAAACAGTCGACCCCATTAAAAAAAAAAAAGTATTAATTAATTTATGAAAGACATTAAAAACAAGCAAAATGCCATTTGATCAAAGCTATCATACATATATGTAGTAACCTAAAAAAATAAAAGGATACTAAAAAAGATAAAACAAAGAATGACTCATGATTTAGGCTTGGATAAGACTGATGCTTAGAAGCTAGGGTTTTAAAAAAATAAAAGCAGAAATCCCTAAATCCCCCTTATGTGTTTATAAAACAAAAATACAATTTTGATTATTGAACATTAGATAGAGGAAAGTGTGGCTGATGTGAGTGAACACAGCCGAATGCTTATTGCTGCATTACAGAAACTTAGTAATTGTTCATGTTGCTCACGTCTCAAAAAAATACTACTGAAGGCACTTGATCTATCAAAGGTTTAACTTAGACTTGCTGGCACAGCCAAGCAGCAATGTAGTCGGTCCCCAGGCTTCAACCCCCACCCCACCCCCCCAAAAAGCCAACATGTCCAAACTGGGCCTCACATTACCTTTACTCCAAATCAGTATTGTTCTTTATGCTTCAAATACATCATTTTTGGTTTCTCAGGCTCGTTGAAAACAAACTAAAAAAAAAAAGGATAAAAACATACAAGGCCAAATATAAAGCTATATAAGCTAGATGCAATAGTCCCAAATGCAGTTAAGTAGTGCTGCTTCATGCTATATTGCAAGAAAAAAAGAGGCACCAGCGACTCCAGACGACAACTGATGATGGCAGTCCTTGCAGAAGAGTTCATGCAGCCCACCCAGCTCAGCTTTGAGGAGAGACCAGGGGAAGGAACGACCCCTAGATTCACTGACAGATCTGTGAAAGATTTGGGGACCCTTGCGTTATTGTCTGTTCATGGGCCAGCCTTGAAGACGCAGACAAAATAAAGAGATAACACACCAGTGAAAAGAAAAGAACAATACTGCCTCAAAAGAGGTTGGCCTTACATGCCGAGACAGAAACCGAAGTCCAGAGAGGCTCGCTGAAACGTCTTGTCAAAGCATCTATGACTCCTTCACAGATAAGAGCAGGCAGCAGTTTAAAGTGTGGGGCGAGGAGTGAGCAGCGTCCTGCTCGGATCTTCTATAACCACGTGAGGAAGCTCTCCTTGTCGATCTTGGTAGCTGCCAGCACCGTTTCCATGTCATTGAGGATGTCGGAGCTCAAAGCCTCCTGGAGACTGGGCATCAGCTCTTCGCCCTCCACCGCCATGCTCTCACTCTCGAGGGTGCCCAGGTCTACGTCTGTACCCGGGATGGCGTCCAGGTAGTCGGGGAAGCGGCTGGGCTGTGTTGCCATGGAAGGTGGAAGAGGGTCCCCTAATGAACAGTAAAAAAAACGTTTTTTAAAAGGGGGTACATCATGAAATTCTAGAGATGCCCCGATCTGGTTGTTGCAGCCTATACCATTGCTGATCCTCGAACAACCACATCGGACAATACAGAATTTTTTTGCTGTTATAGCAGCTGGTATACAAGACAAACTTCCCGGAACTGTCCCGAAAAGAACAGAAAAAGTCACAAGTTCCCTCTCTATTTCATATAGCTGTGAAAACATCTGTATTTATTCAAGTTTCTCACCAAAAACTAAACTTATAGCAGGACTGTGCCGCCCACTGGCATTTGTCCTTTTGTTCAAGAGTTAATCGCACACCTGAGAAACCACATGTGCAGGTGGGAGGCGGGACTACACTAGGCATGCTCTTGTTGCACAAGAGTGTTTAATCAGGGCAAGCTGGCACCATCATTTACGTCTCGCTTATTTACGTTATTTATATTTCTTGTTCTGCAATCCCGCGAGGCGACGTGTTGCCAAAAAGACAACAGTGTGCCGGCAGAGTTTTCTTTGCTGTTTACAGAAAAGTGAGTTCAGAAAGCACAGCTGTATGTCATCTAAAAGATTTTTGATGTCCCGGCTGAATATATGGATCATTTTTCGACAATATGGATGAGGTCATAAAATTAAAAGTGTTTTTTGAACATGTAATTATGTAAGCGTGTTCTGGTAGAAAACCCAAAATACAAGTATGAACCTGCAAATGAGTATAATACATGATTCGACTAAGCAAACTAGAGAGTGTTTGGAAGATCTTGTCAGCTTGGTCCATTAGTTTAGGTAATTGAAACACGTTCCTGTCTTTTTGTACAGACTGTAAATATGAGCAGCCAACTGAGGAAAAAAACAACAACCAGTCACATCAGACTCCTAGTAGTAATTACGAGCAGAAGATTAGGGTGAAGACAGCTACGACGTCTGCCTCATGGTGGAAAGAATTGTGAAATATAAACGAGATGGGATCAATCTGTTCTACCTATTCAGCCGGTATGAATGCAATGTGTTGTTTTACAAAAACTACGCTGGGAGAAAGAGCTGAGCACCAACTACAGGAGGTTCATCGACAGCCGCGCAAAGAGATGTTCAGAAAAGACGTTCACGTTGCTTCCAGCCTCACCTGTGTCCATCTCATCCACGCTGTTGAGGAAGTCGTCTGGAGTGCGAGGGACGCTGTAGCTGCTCATACTCAAGCCGCTGTCTGTGCTCTCATCCCTGGAGTGGTAGGTCCCGCTGAAAATAAAGACATCTCTGTTGTAAACTCTGCACGATCGCTCATAACATCATGATTTCCATCAAACTGAAGGGAATAAAAAGCTTTTTGTCTCGGGTAGAGTTTGCGGATGGCCTTGATGACCTTCACTTAACTGCTTTGAAACTGAACTACGTGAATCTAATTAACTGATCCAACAAAGCAAAACACACTCAGTTATTAAAAGCACACAGGCTGAAAAGTAACAGTGTGGCCTCAATTCCCTCGGGGACCTTCTGCATACATCCACGCTTCAACAGTTATATTTATTTGAACGACTGTGGTGACTAATCCACAGCGACACCGAGCTTCAGTATCTCGCGCTCTGTGGCAGAATATAGGAAAAAGAGCAACAATGAACAGGACAGCAGAGAGAGACAAAGAGGCTGAGCGAGGACATTTGACAAGCCTATACTAATTAGCAGAGGAAAAATATGTAGGCAGAGTATGGCAGAGGCGGGATGAATGAGGCCATTGTGAGCGTAAGGGAGTGGAGGCAACGGGGGGAGGAGGGGAGATTAGGTCGGCCTGTCTACTGACTGGACCACATGTTCTCATGGTCTGCTTGCTATTCAGCTCTTTTCTCACTTCCTCCGCTCACAGAAGAACTAGAGCTTGAACTGCTAGGAGTGATTTCCCAGAATGCCATGGAGCAGCACTTACAGATAGGAAGAGACAGTTTTTTTTTTTTTTCTAATTACGTCTAGCAGTTTTCAGATCCAGTGTCAGTCCATCGGGTTTTGTGTTGTTACTAATCAAATTGTAAAATGTGTTCATCTCCACTTTGAATAAATTGTGGTTTTATCATATTTTTCACACCACTATTTAGGCTCTGATGGCCTGTATTGCAGCAGTTGTGCACCAGGGGTCACCAGAGTGCAATGAATGCCGTCACAAAGCTGCTGGTCTGTGTGAGACATTACCATGTGAGGAGGGTTAAGCCCAGAGACTGGCCTTCTGTTTGTGCTGCTTGTGTAACTCTAGGAGCTCTCACCGGAGCTCAAACATACGTCAAGTCTGACGAGCTGAACCAGAATGGAAGCCCTCGCCAACTGCACCTCAGCTGTGATTGTACTGGACTCGGGGAAATGACGCTCCGCGGAGGCTACTCCTGGGTTTTGTATTAAACCAACCTGTTGAGGAATGGGTCAGAGCTGTTGGCGGTCATGGTCCGGGCATCCTGGGCCATAGGGGAGGACACAGGGTTCGTGCCGCCATCTTGATCCATACTAGTAGGCAGCTGATTCCTTATAGCGAGCTCCTGCGGACGATAAAGCACAAAAACCCATGAGCAACACAATCAACCCCAAACCTAACCGCAGAGGCTTAATTACACACAGCTTCATAAAAACATGTCACAACTCCCTTTTGCTCCTGCTGCACTGCTGTCACTGCAAAAAATGTTAAATTAAGGAATTACAAACAGACTGGTGCTCTCCATTCCTCCTCCATACAGGGTGTCAAATGACACGAGGGGCCCCGACAACAGTTGGAGACAATTGTTTTCTGCACATGCTCGGATCAGATAAGGCAACGGATATGAAGTCATGTTCTTTTTCACCTCCTTCCTCTGGAAGTCCTTGAACGGGAAGGTGCAGTGACTTGACCAATGTCCCCTTTGAGATCTCATTAAACTTTTACGGGGTCGGAGACAACAACAGAGAGCCAATGGAAGGTTGTTAGTGTAGATGTAAAAACTGCTGCAGGACGCCTTAAAGGGCTTATTAGAAGCTTATATTGGTCGTGGTTGAGGAGAACTGGACACAACATTCTCCGAGACAAAAAGATGAATAAAAAGCCGTAGTTAGCCTTTTGTAAAATAAGATGTTTTTCCAGCTGTACTCGCAGCAGTGCTGGAAGGTGTTTCCTGCTCAAAACTACTACTTTTGCACACATGTAAACAATCGGGTGTGGATCAGGAGGGGTTATGAGAGTTGTGTACTGTCAACAACCTTCATGGTTTTATGGGCTTCCTTTTTGAGCATGACTGAGCAGCGTCAGCACTGGACTGCCACCAGCAAGTTGCATACATCGCCGCCGGTTCTTCATCATACTTCATACCATGTGGAATCCATTTGGGTGTGGCAAGCATTGCCCTAAAGTTGAACTCCCTACACAAGCATATCGCCTGCACACTCATGGCTCTCCTATATTTGCAAACACAGAATGGCCTTCCAAATTCCAAACTTCCCGAAAAGTTACAGAAATTTGGGGTTTACCAGAATCTAGCCAAGAGCCTGATAGAGGAGCTCTTGAAATGTAATCTGTCTGGTCTGCAATCTGTTATTTTCCATTAAGCTTTGTTTTACTGGAAAGTGAGGATGTTGGAGGTCTGGGTAACTGTGCTGCTCATGCGTCATAATGTTTTCTTAAAGAGGTCAAAACTCCAGCAACACTTGTAGTATATAGAACAACTGGTCAAAGATTAAAGTTGTTCTATATACTTCCAAGTGTTGCTGGAGTTTGGACCTCTTCAGACGTTTTCCCTTCTCCGTGCCACCCTGGTACGTTGCCAGAAGTTGTGCCAGAAACCCCCACTCAGCGTCATAATGTTTTCCTTGCCTGCACACAAACCAAGAGAAATCAGGTAGGAAGGCAGGAAATAGAAAATGCATGCACTGAAATAACCTGGTGATTATGAAACCTTTGTTTACATACACAAAGATGCAAAAAAACAAACAAAAAAGTTAGACACCAGTTTAGGGCTTTGACACGGCTAATGAATAGAAACCATGTTGCGTTAATTACATTTCTCTTGATCTCGTTTCAGTAAGGACAGTCCAAATCATCTTCTCCCGGCTTCAGCCTGGAGCACGAACACACGCAGAACACTTCCTACACGGTGAACTTCAAACAACCCATGGGAATGGCTTGGTAAACAAGTCACCAGCAGCACCCTCATTCATAATAATAAAGCTCTCTTTCTGGTGGTAATGACACGGCCTTGAGTAAACGACTGGACTCGGCTGCACCACCCTGTGTGGGCGGCACAGTGACGCATCACAGTTAGGAAGTGATAAAATGACCGCGTATGACTCACGGGGGACTTCATTGCAGGGTACTGCAACAATAAAGAGCGATCAAAGAAACGTACACCGCCACTACCTCGGAATGATGACTCATATTTAAAAGAGGCATATTCAGGACGAGTTCCATCACATCGATGATCTCATTTAACTAGTGAGCAGTTAGGGATCCAGTGTCCTACTTCTACGCTGACGGACTTCCACATACTGAAAGTATTAACCTCGAGATCTTTTGATGCAAGCGAGTTGTTCTTCCACGGAGGCCACAGCGCTTCCCAAAAAGCCTTTGAACATTTTTTTGGAAACGCTTTAACTCTCAATTCCTGACCTGTGGTCTCTGCCGAAGTAGCTCCTGTTGCTTCAGTCTCAGCCTCTCCTTCTCGATCTGCTGCAGTCTCATCTGGTTGTTGCCTCCCATGATTCCGGGAGGGAGCTGCCCTCCCTGCTTCCCTGGAGCACTCTGGGAGATCCTCTGCTGGTTCAGGGCTGCAAAAGAGACAAACAGAGAGGAGTTCAAGTCTGTTACCGCTGTAGTGTGGTGTTCATTTTAAACATTGCATTCTGTTACTACTGTATAATATGTACAGTGTTCATTTTAAACTTGGCATACCGACACTCTAAATGTATCTAAACTTTAAAAAAATAGTCAGGGGCTGCTTGATATCAAAGGAACTAGAGAGGACAAAGAGAAACTGGTGAATCCAGTATATCCGTGTCCAGATTGAGCATAGTCTATATTCTGTAGAGAAACGTACAAACCTAACAGAAAGAAATGTCTTTGGAGGCAAACAGGGGAAATCTTCTGGGTTTCAATTAAGTGGGATGGGATATCTTTGTTTTTTTCAGCCCCTTTCTGAGGTTCGGCCACAACGATACGAGTAGTTTTAACGATGACAATATTCAATATCGGATGTAGGTTCCCCGGTACACTAATATTACCCTACCGTATCCGGAACACACGCCTAGGTAATGCCTGGCTGCATAACAAGACTGACAACTTGAGCGTTTTTTTGTTGACACGGTGAACTTGTAAAGGAGTGAAGCCAGTGCAGCAGGTTATGTAGGACAAGGGAAGTCTTCTACCTAGTGTGTGAAACAATCACTATTCCTGTAAGACCTGATCACCTCCCACTCACTGACTAAGACAGGCTGTTACTTTCGTGCATTTCGTGTTATGACTTATCCTTTCATTGTGCGTTTTGTTTCCTTCTTAACAGATTATACTTCAGGACTGATTGTCTCTTAACCCTGGCCTGACGGGTCTGTGTGCTTATCAGACAAATGCATTTTATAATAGATTAGGTTCTTTAAACACTGCACCACTATCAACTTTCATTTGAACGTTCTTTCACCCGAGAAATATGATTGCACTGTGCACTGACAAAGCTACCAGCAAGTTTACATTATCAGAACAAATGCGTGTGTATTGAAAAACACAGCTGCTCCCCCAGTGAAATCTTTGTTATTCTTTACTCCAGCGAGGGTGGGTCCAATAAACATGTTGTATGAAAGCAGCACAGCAATGCAGCAATCTCTGCATGCAAAGTAGGTCACACACTTTGTCACTACAGTGGGGAAAGAGAAGCAAATGTGCTTGACCACGAGGGGTGTAACAGTAATGGAACCAATGGTGAGAGCTGTTTGCTTATGCGCTTCAAGTACCAACCAAAACAAAGCCTTTGGCGAGAGGGGGGGGGGGGGCAATTTTCATGCGGGGCTGCCTCTCTGTGCTGTCCTGCCCGCCCCGGCACCTTTCTCATCACCATTCAATCACTGTCTGTTTACACTATCTCAGGAGCTGAATGAACCGTGGCTCAGGGCTCTCCCTGGGAAGCTCTGCAGGCCCCGCCCTGCCTGCAGTCATCCCCCTCTCCACCTCTCCGTCCACGCTGCCCCCCCAACAACCCCACCCCTGCACACAAACAAACACACACACACACACACACACACACACACACACGCACACACACACACACAGAGCCATGGAGCCGCCTCAACTCTCCCACACACATATCAACTGAAGCCATGGGAGAGTGTGTTACTTCTCCCTTCTTATCTCTTGCAGATACTGAGGGCGTTTGAGGCTGGATCGCTCCACCGTCGGGGCACCATTAGCAGTTCTCAAGCTACAGCTGCTGCAACATGGGCCATGTCAGCAGCTGTAGCTCTGCAAAGGCCTGAGCTTTGAAGCAGAGGCACGAGGAGAAAGATTCACCGATACAGAAGGCCAAACATTAAAAGGGAACCGTATGGTTTCAAACAACCTAGGTCTATATTCTCACAGTTTGACCAATCGCTTGTAACAATAACAACAATATTGCACTCAATGTGTAGTATCGCTAATAGGAAGTCTGACAGGGCAATAAACCACGATCAGACAGCTACACTTATTTGGACCGTATTACCATAACTGTCTATTGTAAACTTACATCACAGTTTGCATACTACCAGTTTCAACTTTGACCCACTAAACTTTACATCACCATGGATAAAATGTTGGCTTGTTCATTGTTAGCCTGCTGATTTTCTGCCCCGACTGACTGTAACGTATTGACACCGACATGTTCCAAGATGGAAGCAATCACAATGGAGAGTGCAGTGTTATCATAAGCTAATGCAACAATATTAGCGTAGCCACAACTATGTAAATAACGAGAAGGTGTGAGTCTTGAGGAAGAGTATGCATTGAACAGTGAGTGGGGCATTTGATACACAAAACCATATGTTGGCAAATGCAGTCTTACAGCGGAGTTTCTACTGAAGTCAAGGACTCTGTCACAGCCCAAACAGCTAACAGTAACCACTGTTACTGGAGGAACTATGCCCAAACAATGAGCATATCGCAGCAGGGAATTACATCTGTGGGTGAGATAGCAGCGAAGGACAGGTTCAGTTCAGGGCCAGAGTGATAGCATAAGAAACGGAGGCCAGACTCGGCTGAGGAGACGCGTGTGTGTATGCTTGTGATTTTGGAAGGGGAGGTTGAAGGCAGCAGCACATATGGGCGGTGATAGCTGGTGGGCCGAGCAGATAAGAGACAAGTTAATGCCGTCTGCCTTTTGTCCTCTTCACGCGCCCGTGCAACACAACGCGGCCAGCAACACAGGCCCTTGTCAGCCGATCACACTGTCAGGCATATGACACCACCAGATCACCTGGGGCTGGTAGGGTTGAGGGTGTGCCAGCTGCGGGAAGTTCTCTGTGTGAACAGGGCTCAGCACCTTTTGAAGGCATGGTAAATATTAGTCTGTTGTCAAATTAAAAAGTCTTAAAAAGTATTGTATTATTTAAATTAATTTGTTTAAAAAGGCCACTTGCGAAGGTGTTGTCTTTCTAGCGTTGAGATAAGAAGAGTGGGGAAACAGTCTGGATGTGATAAAAACACTGTTTTATCGGAGTCTGTCCGGAAAAATCAACAGCGTAGGCCAGCTTATATGGGAAGTATTTTACAGCTTCAAATTTGAAGTTGTGTTGCATTTAACTGTTCAATTAAAGTACTTTCGTTTCAGTCAAATAAAAACCAGAATGCAAATATTATCTCTGTGAAAATCAACTGGAAGGTATCCCTCTTAAATGGTCATTTCACCCCAAATAGTTGATCGGGACTTCATCATAAGTAGTAAGGGGCTTGAATAAAGCTGCTCAAAACAAGCTGAGTGGGTTATCCAAAATAGGTGCGACATTCGTTTTAAAGAACGCTACTGTTGAGCTTTTCTAAAAACGTATTTTTAAAAGCTTTTTGCACCTCAAACAAAATGCAGTTCACCTGCATGGTATTGGAGTCGGTGCAAATATCTAAGATGTAAAAAAACAAATAATAACAACAACAAAAACAACATGTGAGAATGTCAGAATGAACCGACCCTTTAAACTGACTCACTGCTGCCTCATCACACTATGCCAACTTCTCTGGTGAAGTACTCTCGACAGCGGAGGAAGAAACAAAAAACATCACATGACAGATAATGTAGCAACGTGTTTAATTAAGGCTTCAAAGCAGACTGTTCCTCTCCCAGGGAAAATCTGTCTATTTGTGCTCTCCAGTATCCTCCTAGTATGTTTTTGCCATGCTGTTCCTCATATCTACACAGAGCCAGCCCCCCCTCCCCCCTTTCGGACTCGGCCACAGTGCACTCATGGCTTGTTCGCTGCTCACCACCTCCTTGGATATTAAAGAGGATGCATGCTTATCCCGTCGGCATATTCCCTCTGTTCCTCTGTTTTTCCTTTCTTCCCCTTTTGCCTTGCCTCTCTCTCCCTGCCCCCCACCTCCCCTCTCACATTGGAGTTCTTTGACTGAAAAGGTCTGGAACAGATTAAGAGTTGGACCACAGAATAAAGAGGCCTGGCAGAGATTCAAGTCTGTCTGGAGCTGGAGCAGAATGGGGCTGTGCCTGCACTGGGCCTCACGCAGGGGAAAGCCAGCCGGCAACAGCCCTCAGTTAAAGGCGCTCCGCTGCTTTTCTTCTCAGAGCTCAAATTAGCCTCCATTATCAAAGCAGCTGGCTTACCATTGGAGACCTACATAGCAGAAGTATACATGTTTCTGAAGCCGAGGAGCGCATTACTGTGCTCGCATGTAAAAAAAGAAAAATGTGATTGAAGAACAACTGCAAAGAATATCATTCGGTTTCCCTTCAACCACCGAGCCACACTGTGAAATATCGAGTAGTTTGAAGTGCATATCACTTAGAAATCTTTCATGAAATCTAAAAGGATAAAAAAACGACAGCATGTGAGCAACATAAGGGGGTATAAATGTGAGCTATTAAAAGTATTAAGCACAGAAGGATTTTATCTCACGTGGAGCAAAATGATGTTTGATGGCACACAATGAGTTAACGTGATCTCTTTCTCCCTCTCGCTCGCTTTCAGGGGCCCAGCAGCCTTGTGTGTTCAAGACTTATAAATCTTCAAAGAGCTCCGCCGATCTGAGCCGCCATCTCTCCCCAGCTGCTCCACTCCCCTTACAACTCTGTTTTGAACTTTCCTGCCTGCCTTTAGAGTGGGACTCGCAATTGCTGACAGGAAAAAAACAAAAACCTGCCCTTGAAGTGGCCAGGCTCGATAAAAAAAGTACAGCTAAAATTAAAACAGGAAAACAGGCTGCGTGCTGATTCACACATGTTGCCTTTGTGAACCAGGGTTAGCCTCCCTGGGGAACGCTGCTGCAAAGGAGGGATGGCACCTGAAGCGTAAATGAGTCAGAGTGACATAAGCAGGAACCTTCATCTCTGGGAGTCTTCCTTGCACAGGAGGATTAGCTCATTCCCATGGCCGCAGAGAAATCTCTACACATGTAGCAGGTCCTGTCGCTAATTCACCAAACCCTGGCCACCACACACTGAAAGCTAACTGTCAAACTTAAGCTCGGCCCGGGGGATTAATGGCTAACTCAGCTGTTGCTCTAACACTAAAATGGCTGACAAAAGGTTCGGTGCAGATTTTGAGTGTGTGTGTGTTGGGGGGGGGGTTCTGTGAAATCTGGTTTCAACAACCGATGGTATGGCTAGTCACTCCGGAACAATGTAGTGCGGTGCAATAAGCAATGAATCATACAGAACTGAACCCACTATTACATTGTGGTGATGCATCTTTTATGGATTAGCCAGAACTTTCTACTGGGGAAAGTAAACTGCTGTCACAAAAACATGTTTAAGAAACTTTTTACCCTATAAAAAGACTTCCTTGTTCAATTTAATATATCATAAATATGCTATTAAAACTTTTAGGTAGCAACAATGATTTTTGGGTGCCTTATAATAAAGTTTCTTGATTTACTAAGAAGAGCAAACATGGTATTTTTAATTAAATCAAGAACTAAACTAAGGAAATCCTCTCTATAGCAAACTCACCAAAGCGCGGGTCAAGTCGTGGGTCAAGCCAGGATGTGGTCTTGTTCTTGTGGTTGATGTAGTAAATTTCTCCCTCTGATGTAATAGCTTGTTCCCAGGCCTCAGGGAGAGGACCTGAGGGATGACAGGCAACAATAATGTTGGAGAGATGCTTGTGGTTCAGTCACGCCTCAGATTTGTTCTTTAAATGACATAATTGTGCAACATATAGCAACGGTAACAGCATACTGTATTTGAAGAAGCAGTATATATATATATATATATATATATATAGATATATATATAGATATAGAGGTCATGGATTTGGTAGCATTTAAGACTACACAAATTCTGTACAAAGCAACAAACTATTTACTTTCCGGCAACACACAGAAGATGTTGGCGGATTGTATCTTAAGAGGAAAGGTGCCATCACACCAGGAAACTAAAAAGGTGCTATCAAGCTTAACCTGTTCGCTTTGCTTAAAATGAACTCGAGTCCGTAGGACGGTCCATGTGGGCTGGTGTGAAAGCTGTCAATCAAACAAAAAAAACAAAAAAAAACAAACAGACCAAGACCACCTGAAAAGTGGGGTCTCGGTCCGCCATGTCTCTCTCAGGACTATGATGCCCATTGTTGTTGTTCTTCTTCTTACTGTTTTTTAGTTTCGTTTTTATATTGACATGATTTTTTATGCGTACGTGATAAACAATAGTTTCATTATTCAAGCCAAGTTAAAGGGGCAGGACATTATACGCGTCTACCTCTGCCTATTCCTTTTCAAACATGTAATATTTATTCATTTAGAAGTTGCTGCATCTGTTTACCGTTTATGTTATTGATGATTCTTCTTTGTGTTCTTATCATTTGTTACAAGTTCAAAATAAAATCTATCCATCCATCTGCTCATCTGACTATCCATCCATCTCTTCCACTAACTTGGACAAAAATAAACAGGCTGTATGGGAAAGTGACATCAAAGACAAATAGTAGCACATTACTTTTCACCACATTCAAGGTTATTGTATCTTTTTTTAAGATTCGCCTATAGGTTGCCAGCAACGATTTGAGAATACAGAAAGACTTCATCAGTAAACTCTGTATTCTGTGAGTCACGGAGCTCCCAAACATGTCAGACAGGACCCGTCACGTTCTACCTCGGTCTTAACTCACCTAGGGCAAATTCCAACCGCATTGGCCAGAAGTGAGGTACACAGAGTCTTAGTGACATGTAAAAACTAGACCAGACTGCTCCCGACTTCTACTGTATGTGGTATGAAAGTAAGAAGATGGCCAGAAATAACATCAAGTTTAGTCTAATGCTGAACGTCCCACATTGAAGAACTTGATCTGTAAATACATGTCATGTGCTGCTTCTCTGGTGAAACTAAACTTAATAAAGTCACGGTATACATACCACTGGCTGGGTTCATAATGTTCTGTTGCTGCACTGGCACAGAACTGGGAGGGGGAGCCTGGTTCATCTGGAGCAGGGCCTTGCGAGGATCCTGCCAGGTCGTGGTCTGATCAATGTGGCTGTAGGGAGACAAGATGGCCAAAATAAATAAGTCCTAAAAATGACCCGTCAAGGTGTTTTCCAGTAGTAATCAGTAGTGAGTTCAAACCAGGGGCCGTATCAATGTGAAACATCAGGTCACATGCAGGAACTGGTGACTCAGAGCAGTTTCAACAAGCTCTTTGATGAAAACACTGAATCCAACGCCTGCTTTCTGTAAACTATGACTGTTACAGGAAACCAAACTCAGCTGCGTCTGTTTGGACCCAGTCTGAACCCACCGTTCAATATAGGACTGGGATAGTTTTTTTTCCACTTTTTCCTCACTTAAAAGTTGTACGCCATGAATCAGAATGGGTAAACTGCACGTTGTTTTGAATTAAAATAAAGTTATAAATGATAAAAGACAGAAAAAAAAAAACAAGCAGCAAACGACAACACTAGACGACTAGAAATGAATCGACATCACGTGGGACTGCATGGAAGCCCAACACTTCTCGTCTAAGAGGCTATGATTGGTTTCAAAACAACTATTGTAACGCCAAACAATGTTGCTCCATCTATTTTACGGCTCGTCTTTGCCGGGGACAGGAGTGGGGAGCGGGGGAGAGGGGGCATTGTGTTGCATTCTGTGAAGGCATTGATAATTAGTGCTTTGTTGGTACTTGTTGCTTGATTAAGATGGAAAGCTAATACAGGAAGCCCTCCTCTCCCGAGCAGGACCCTCTCTTTTGAGGGAGGGTCAGTCCCAGGGCTCAACGCAGGGGGTCCTTTTTTCCTGGAAGTGGCTCGGACACTGTGGAGTGTCAGGGGCTTTAACAATCTGGCGCCACATTTACAAAGCTTTCACCTGCTTGACAAAGGCACAGACTGAGCTACGACCTAAAACCCCACTATTCACTTGTGCTTTTTGTTTTGTTTTTCGAAACAACCCATTTAAAAAGGCCTCGCCTCAAACTGAGCCTCAAACTCCAGTAGCGTGTTTTTGATACACCACAACCCTATTTAGTGGCTGAATTATTTTATACAAGTGAGAAAAATACAGTTTGTTCAGAAATGCAATGAAATATTACCCTCGGCAATCTATATAATGTACCCTGCAATAATCACGCTCCTGACTCTTTACGACTCGCTGTGAATTTGATCCCAGAGCGCCATTAGCCCAGATTTTAGAACAGCTGGGTGAAGTGAGAGATTCAGAGGGTCTTTTGGCCTCTGCGGTAATCCCAGCCTGCCTGTCTGCTCTCTATCCCAGGCCAGAGAGCGAGAGGGCCTGACTCAGCACCCCCCCCCCTACACAATGCAACCCATTTTGAAGCCCCCTCTTGTTTATGCTTTACTGATCAAAGGAGCTGCCAAATCCCCTACCAAACCCTCCCCCAGCCCTCTCTCTCTCTCTCACACACACACACACACACACACACACACACACACACACACACACACACACACACACAAACACCACAAACCAAGCAAAATAGCTGGAAGTGCTCAGATTGGAGGGGGCCCTTTGAGAAAGAAGGGTCACAGGGAGCGGGGTGAGACAACTACAGAAAAGAAGGGGGGACAAAAAAGTGAAAGAGGGGGGGGGGCATCTACGGAAGCAATCCCTCTGAATTCCATTGGCTGCGTGAGTTGCTGTGGTCCTGTTACACTCCGAGCGCCCGCCCTGCCCCCTTCACTGCCTCCTTCCCACTCTGGAAACTATGACATTTATTATAGAGGAGAGGGGAGGAGACTCCGAGAGGAGCACTGGGATAAGGGAAGGGAGGACTTATCGTAAATGAGAGGCCTGCACATCCTGGTACACAAACGGTGAACAGAAATGCTACAAGTGGAAAGAAAACACGGATGAAAATGTATAACCTCAAAGCCTCTAAGAACTCTGATAAATCCGTATCCGCACCTCCTTAACTTGGGCTTCTCCTAGCACAGATGAAAGTACAAATATTGGATTTTCTATCAAACCCCAGCGTGGGAGGCCGAAGTTTGTGGCTCAAATCAATCAAAACAGATGTAAACACAGCTTCAGCAAAGCGCCTGTGATAAAAATCCACACACTGCGAAGGTTTCCGAGCACTTCGCTGTATGAGGGAACTGGTGAACAAGTTACAGAGAGCCCAGTAATTCATCACCAGATTCTTAAAGCTAAAAGATAATCCATTCACTCGACCTGCCCCGACCCCTATATGGTCCGGGGCTATACGCCGCTTCCTGTCGCCGAGACATAAAACAAAACAATGTCATGGCAACTGCTGGGACGGCTGGAGGCCACCAGTTGCTGTTCGGAATTGCTGATGATCTGCAACCTCACAACTGCTCGGTGTTGTCTTTACATGTCATGACACCACGGCGAGCTCAGCAGGACGACCACCACACCCTGCTACTCCTCCCCCCCGGGGCAGGGCAGTGGACCCAGAGCGAACAGGCTGTGGGTTAGGCCTCGTCCACACTGCAGCAGTTACAGTTGAAAAGAACAATCACATGTTGTTACTGTTTTTTGGGTCGTTGTCCAACCCGACATGCCAAAACAATAAGATGATGCTTAGATAAAACGCATATGTGGTTTTGGTCACATGGATCAAGAGCGGCGGAGCGCATTATACTCCAGGAGTGGTTACGTTACTCCTGCCATTAAAACTTAGAATCTTATTTGAATTCAAACTAGCCAGTGCTGCTCATCTTCATGTCGGAGCAAACTGCACTGAGACGGCAGCTTTAAACTATTTCTGTGGAATGGTTTCCGCCAGCTGAATGAAGTGATCCATAAAAATAAAAAAATCCGTGGGTCTGCGTTGTCGTGGACATGGCCTCAGTCCGACGGTCGGTATTCTGTTTGTGAATCGCACAACAGAAAACATGACCCGTCGTTAGCTTCTTCGTGGGAAACTGACTGTAAATTGGCCAGGTGCTGCAGCGAAGGAGAGCCCGTTATCAAGTCGCTCGCCTGTAGCGCGCTTGCTCCTTTTTGCTCAAGCTATCATCATGGTCGACTGTGGCTTAGCACGGAGGAGGACTCTTGATCCACCCAGGCACTTGACATCCCCTTGACTGATGGCCCAATTATCAAGGTGGCGTTTATTGTGTCAGCGTTATTTATAATGAGGAGGAGGAGGGCGTGGGACCTTTTGCATAAAGGCTAAACTTGACTCTTTTTTCTGTACTAAGGACATTCAAGATAGACTTTTTCTCTATCAGTAGTTTAAATGTATGTTCAAACTCATGTGACTGAATCAAAAGATTTGACTGGAGTCAGCTTCACAGAGTAACTCAGCAGAGGTTCGACATCCTCAAAGAGATCCAAGTGAAGACGTCAGAATGTTGCACTTGTTTCACAGGCCTCGTCTGATTACAGCAGTATGACAAACCGAACACGGAGCTTGCCTGTTTACATCCGTGAAAACTGCGGCGTTTACATCTGGCTTTGAGGAGAATGTTCTATCCAAAAATAAGTCTGCTCTGCGGTTTAAAATGTCTCCGAATCAGCTCTGCTACCTGCCAAAAATAGCAGATCAAAGCTAGACGCGAGGCCAGATAGAGCGTTTTATTCCGCTGAAACCGTTTCTCCTCAAAGCCAGATGTCAAAATCTGCATTTTTTGCTGGTGTGAAACAAGGGAGTGAAGCTACGGGGAGTGCAGCAGCGACGAAACACACCCCCTACAGCTGAGTTGTCAAATGTTAAAAATGGGATCCTCAGGCCACAGTGGTTCCACCCAGGGAGTATGTGCTTGGAAGGTGGTTGAAGCCGATGACTAAAGGGTGCACTGAGGGAGGCAAGATGTAATCAGGCCTCTAAGATGAGGATGACCACCTCCACTCTGGTTGAATGGGGATGCCTGGCTGCCTCTCTATCAGCAGGACATCATCAAGAGAGATTATTGGGGCAACCTCTGTGACCCTATTGTGGCTTTAAGTTTCCCTTTGAAGGAGGGTCTGTCTCATCATACTTCCTAACGAAGCAACTAATTCACAAAGTACCAGGGACGGAGCTCAGAAGGTTCAGTTTGACTGCTGCTTGTTTTCAAAGAACAATTCAAAAGACTAATGTATTTAAGTGTCCTTTCAGAAGGAGTGCCAGTCAAACACTGACTGCACTACGTAGGCACAATTATGCGTTTTAATAGTAAAAAAAAGAGTTTAAATGTATGCATGCTGCAACAGACAATATTAATACAAATGTTTCTCTATTTTGTTGTCCAAGCGCTATCCCTTTGGCACCAGGTGCTATGGTTAGAGTCGTTTTTTGGGAACTCTCAACCCCACCTGAGACAGCCCATGAGCCCGATACTACATCTCTGTGGAGATGCACTCAGTGACAGTGGAGGCATTGATGTCTGGGACAGAGGTGTTACATCAAGACTTTGGTAAACACTAGCCGGACTTTCTCACAGTCTCATTTGTGTACTGAGCTGACAGGCCCCAGTTGAACAGGAAGGGCCTTGTCTGTGTGTGTGGTCAATAAACCAAAAGTTTGTCAAACACAAAGTTCGCTCCGAATGAGGGCTCCACGCAGGCTTACAGCCCAGTCTTCCCAGCACCATTTGTGACTGACCGAGTGGTCTCAACAGCTTCATTTCAAATCCAATTTGCATACTTATCACGTCAAGCTTTAAGTAAATTACATAACAGTCGATACAGAAAATATTTAGGCATTACGCGTAATGCTTACGGTACATAAGATGGCGAGTATGAGATCAGTGTGAGCCAAGCGATTAGACCACTCTGCTGTGATATATAAGATGTCAACAAACAAATGTGGAGCAAATTAAAAAAAAAAAAAAGCAACCAGGCAACTGACTTTTACACAACCACACCATTTGTGTGCAGCTCTCAATGGACTGTCGGTATTGTTTCTATTTCATATCAAAAGGGGACAGAAATACAAGAATGCAATGGTAGCTTTTTGTCGCTCAAAAGGAAAAATGTTGAAGATTTTAAAACAAGAACCAGACATTTTTTGTTAATATCACAGTCCAAATAGATATCGACTGCATACAATGAGAGCATAAGGTCCAAATAAACACTCTGATCTTTCCTGCTCTAATAGGGGGCCTCCCTAACTTGTTTTTAGCGCAACAGATGTCCAGGAAACCCCATATAGGGTCCACTGAAGACCGACTTCTTCTCAGCCTGCCTAGTTTCCCTTGTTAACCAGGATTGTGCCCAATTTACAGTGTAAAAACACATAGTTAAATAATTAGTAGTAGCCTATAATACATAATAATTTGATCCTTTGCAATCGCTGTTAAGAGGCGAGTCAGCCATTCTGGTTGTGGGAAACCAGGCTCATCAAAACGGTTTAAAATCCAATTGAGAAAAGACAAAAGTGTCTGTCGGCACTCAGCTCTACCTGCCCCTGAGGGCAGACAATAGCTACTCCCCCCCCCCCCCCCCAAAGCTTCCCTCCGCTTAGGGCTGACTTCCCACGGACTAAAAGCTCATTCAAAGCTGCATTTAATAAGCGCCCGGAAACAGTGATTACCCCTCCTAGTTTACCGGTGTGTCTAAATTAGAAACCTTCATTAGTTTATGACCCAGCCCTGGAGACCGGCCCTGCCCCCCCCCCATCCCCGCACCAAGCAAGGTGACCCAACCTCCCTGCCCCTGCTGTCGTAAATCAAAGGCCACAGCAAACTGCTGGAAGAAAGAGGAGGAAAGGTCAACAGACTTTGTTGACATTCTCCCAGTGTTCTCAGACTTCTCCTCAGCTTAAGCTTTTTGTTATTTATGTTATAGTCAAAACAAAACAGAGATTTTTTTTGCAGGAGATTTGCTCATGTTTTCATCGGGGCGACAACAACCAATTATTTAAATGGTTAAACTTTTTGTAACCATTTTTTTTTTTTTAAAGCGTTTTTCATTATTAATATTCCCAAGAGCCTAAAGTGACATCAATGACAGTTTGAAATCCAAATTTACAATCATAGAAAAAATGAGAGAACAGCAGAAAATCCTGAAAAAAAATGAGAAGCTGGAAACAAATATAGTTCAGCATTTTTTTGTCAATAAATGACCAATATGTTGCAAATAGATTTTGACTGAATAAGCAAATGATCTACTAATTGTTTCAGCACTGATCACTAAAACACACCAGGCCAAACTGAAGCTGTCAGCACGGTTGCACGGTGCACAAGCTCAATTACTTACTAGCAACTGTGAGCAGCATAGTCTTAAGAAGGCCGCTGCCCTCTCCCTCCGCCATCTTTAAAACTTCATGTCAAACCATTTGTCTATTTTGGGAAGGCTCACATGAATCTCAACAGGCCTGTGGTCTGAATAAAGATCACTGTTTCACTGCCGGGACAAAGGGAGGGCCGGAGTTTCTCTTGGCCCCTCTTCTAGTCATCTCCACATGGCTGTTATTTAACTCCATTGACACAAAGGAGGCGCCATCACAGCGCCACGGCTCCATTCATACCAAAGCAGAGCCTGGCTTTAAGAAAGGGGAGTGGGACATCGGCGTCCAATGTGACTCACAGAGGCCACTCACCCCCCCCCAGACTGCATGATCCTGTAGTGTACTAGTAAACAACAGAGGTGGAGAAACAGATTATTTTAAAATGTTTTAAAAACTTTCACCCTGAATTGATTTATCTCTAAGGACAACAGCGGTCACCTGAGTGAAATGTGAGCCCCGCTCGGCTCTGCTCGCTGGTGACAGACTCCCCACCCCCACCCACCCACACACTCTCTCTCTCTCTCTCTCTCTCGCTCTCTCTGGCTCAACTTCACTCCTTCTGCAACGCGTCTCGGTCGGACAACCCCCGTTTATAAATAGGGGAGTGTCTTTTCCAGCAGCTCTGCCGAGGCCGCCCGTATTCCAGATCAAATATCTGCACTTTGATGTGTATGGAAGATGTCTGCCGGAGTTTTTCCTGACTTGAACACAAACACTGTGTACTACACTTACTCTAGCTGTACAGCATGCCACTCAAAGCACAGTTCTCAACAGAGACACAACTACTTCCCCAAAGCCATAGGATGCACGATGCTCCAGTTTTGGAATTGACTTGTAAACACATACGAGCAGAGACTAAAATTAATTGTAAAACAATTACATGTTTAATATTCAGGATTTAGATTAAATTGTTCTTTGTATTATAGAGAAAGAAGCTCTGCAGCCACATGGTACAAACCTAAAAGGTGCCTTTATCAATGATCAATCAATCAATCAATCAATCAATCAGAGACAGTTCTTTATCCGCTTTGTTTTCAATATAAAAGCAGTAGAAAAAACTGAACTCTTTGACAATTACACAATTTGTTATATAACAAAGAACAAATTACACGTCGTTTGAATTTATAAAAAATAAAAAAAGACAAGCAACAAAACGTAATAGTGCAACAAACGTTTGAACTAAAGTTATACAAGATTGGCTTTTCCAAACTTAAATTTTGTTTACAAAGTTGCTTGATTGTCTGGAGGCGCATTAGATCACTCAGTCCCTAAACAACTGCAGTGATCCTGGGAGAGTCGAGGGAATCGTGTTTTTTCTCTCTTCTACCCCCCCCCCTCAGTGCTTTTGTACAATTTTAGAAGAGCCTCCTAAAAAACGGCCCAGATGTTCTCCAGATGTGAAACCTTAAAACATCTGGTACTGAAAGCTGCTTTTGGATCCAAGTACATTTGAGGCTAGGGTGTTTGTTCAGACCCCGTGTCAGAGAGTAATATTTCCTAGAACAGTAAACATCTTTGAGGGGAGTAAGAAGGACGACTTTTGATGTCAAATCATCTCGAAAACACGAGCTGCTGAGCTTTTTACTACACTTTGGAACATTTCACAACGAGCAGATGCTCTTCAGGACGCCGCTTTAAGACAAATACATAAGAAAAGTGAGAAAGAATACAAAGAAAAACCCTCACAGCCCTAAACTGACAGTCCTAAAGAGCTCTGGTATAACCACCAACTACTATTGTTTTCAAAAGTATACTTTGGATCATCAATGTGGAGGAGATATGCTGGTTAGCGGATGACTTTTGTAAAGATGTCTGTCCTTTGCCGTCTGGGGCAGCTACAATGATCCATTGTCTCTACTGAAACCTGAGCCCAAGACAAGGAGCACCACATCCAGCAGCAGCCCCTCAAAAGACGTCTCCCTTGTTTGCAGAGGCCACCAAATTTAATAACCCACAATTCAACGATTGCAATTGTCTCTTTTCGAAGCACACTGGCCACCGTTGTGTGCCGCACCAGATTTGCAAATTATTGTCAGCATAATGTACACCGTGCAGAGTCCGATCCCAAGACCACTTCTCTGGTAGGTTGGACTTGTATCGACCGTTGGTGCAGGCGAAAGTGTTCCTTGGACATACTGGAGTGACTCTTCTCAACTTTAAGAGGTCACACAAGAGTCACCAGGTTATAAGCAGGTTTCCTACACTTGCATGAAGGTCTATTAATGTCTTATTATGGTCTTGTTTGACACATTTAAAAGGAGACTTATTTTCCATGATATGGATGAGACAGTTGGGTGGTTAACGTTAAAGACCACAGATGCATCTTTATCAGAACGCAAAGTGGTGTCAGTAGGACAGAGAGATGTCTACAGGGCTGTTGGCTCTATGTGCTAAATATCAATACAACACTTCATCTCCTTTCAAAGCCACCCATTCATTTTCAAAAACACAGATCCAAGTTGCAAACTTTGAAGCTTTTTCAAAGACTGTATAACGCAAGAGACAGTGTTGACACTTGTTTCCAGCATACTTACTTGAGGAAGTATCTCTGGCCCGAGGGGGTCTTGGCCATCTCCCACCCCGGGGGCAGGGGCACGTCATCGGGAATCTCGTACGAAGACTGACGGAGATGTTGAGGGGAGGGCGGGGGCATGCCAGACAGGGAGCCTACGGTAACAGCCCCCAGCTGAAGGGAGGCCGGGGACGAGTGTGCTCGGACGTGGTGGGGTGGGAGGACTCCGCCGGTCCCAGCGTCGGTGCTGGCCTGTGTTGGGGTTGGAGGAGAGGCAGTATGAATGCAGTCCCATAGTCTTTCCCTTAGGGACCCTTTTTACCAAGTTTCATCTGATATCGTTGTGAAGCAAAACAAGCGAGTCCAAAAATAGAAGTATATACAGTTCAAAAAGGTTATTACATTTGATCCGATAGTGAATAACTGTTTCATTGAGTATTTATAAAACAAACGTATACAATACTGTATTTGAGGCCAGCTCACAGATAATAGTAAGGATTTAAAGAACTACAGGACACACACCATAAGAGATAAGTTGGGGTTTTTTGTGCACATTAAGTTTGCATGAATTATTCTGATTTCACATTTCATTCACGTCTCATACAATATAATCACTTCACGCGTATGTTAGTTATTTTCATATGCATGTGTAGGCAAGTTTGAGAGCTGTTTAATTAATAAGGATGAGGCCTGTGTGGGACAGAGGAGAGCGCAGACTCGCTGCACAGCAACGCATGCGCACTGACGAGAAAAACTCCACAGAGACCATAAGCAACAGTTGTGTGTGTGTGTGTGTGTGTGTGGTAGCAAATCATCTTGAATACAAAAACTTAATTATTTCATTATGTCCACATCATTGTTACCTTTCTATGCATGAACGTAACCAAAACATATACACATACTGTGTGTGCACGTTCCACTAAAGGCCGTGTGGGTTCAGCCAACCTGACAACTGGCGTAAAGTAATAATATTATTTGTTCCACTAACGGGCCCATCGCTGAGGACAAACAAATGGCTTTTCAGGATATTTTGGTGACTCTCTCACACACAGGCCCTCGGGCTTTTTCTCTGCAGTGATTACCAACCTAATGACAACTTCTTGAAAAAGTTTAAGCTTATTTACTATTACGGTGTATGTAAAGGAGGGTGGGAGACATTTAAGTACAAATAAGTCTTAATAAACAAGGGCTATAATATCCCACAATTTACAGCCGCTTTAAGCCCAGTGGTGATATCCTAACTGCTCATATGAGGTGACTGCAGGCTCCCACTCGTGAACCGTGGGCCCCCGAGTCCCCACAGGACGGGCCTCTGTGCTCTAGTCGTTTATTCCTGGGAAAGGGGGCAGAGGAGAGACGGGGCGGGCTTACTTGTCTGGAATGGGACTTTGGTTCAGGGGGTTTGAAGAAGGAGTCTGGCAGTTTCCTCATCCTCATGGGTACGCAAGGGGGCACGATCGTGTTTTTCGGGTTCATCACGGCGTTAAAAAGAGCCTCCAGGTCGGTCTCGGAGTCGCCCCGTACATGGACGATCTGGTGTCCGGCAGGAGGGTTATGCTGGCTCGGATCCATTGCTCCCAAAACTGTCTGCCAACTTTGTGCGTGTCCGAAAATGTTGCGTTAAGGAATTCACCAAAAAAAAAAAAAAATAAGTTTGAGACAATCCCAAACTTTTTTTTTTTTTCCTCTTTTTTTTCACACAGCAGGAAATATCGACGACACTCAGAAAAAGTGATCCCGAGTCATTCTAAAGTCGAACAGTCGAGGACTTTGTTTTCTTCCGAAGTGTGTTAGCTGTCGAAATCTGCAGTGAAAGACAGCGCTTTCCTGTTGTTTCTCGCTGGCATTCTTGAGAATGTAACAAAGCGCATATCTACTCCACACTGGAAATCTGTGTTGTCGTCCCGGCCCCAAAACTTTTCCACAAAAAAAAAAAAAAAAAAAAAAAAAGCACACGAAGCCACAAAAGACGAAAAAACAACAACAGCACAAACGCACTTCTTCTGTGTTTAGGCCAAAGTTGAGGCTGTTAGTGGATTTTCTTACACGAGAGATTCATAGTGCGAAGAACAAATCTCTGCAGCTCACTTTCCAGAAAAAAAAAAACTTTTGCTCCAGTCTAAACTTTGGGCAGGACATCAAACTTTATGACTCATGGGATGTCTGCTCCGGAGGCGGGGTTTAGGATTAATTGGGACAAGAGTCTTTAAAGGTACAGTCAGTGAAGCCCAGGGGCCAGAAACAAGTTTATTATGCCAAAGTTTTACCCTTTTACGTCAAAAACAATAACTTTCAATAATTCGAACCCACAACACCCACATTTTATGATATATATGTCACAACTTTTTAATTGCGAAAAACCCCTCATCAACTCAAACCAGGATTTTGACGGTACCCAAATGACATGGTGACTTTCGGTCATGTTTATTCTATAATCGATGGGGCAACCGAACGGTAATTATTACACATTAATTAGATAATCTGGGCAACAATTGCCAAATTAAAGTGTTCCCTATTTTGTTGGCAACCCTTTGAATACAACAGGGACCCCTGCTGATGCCAAACGGAGCCCACTTGGGAAAAAAAGTTAAATGATGACTCTGCCAAAATGTTAAGTAAGTAAAAAAAAGAAATAAAATAAGCATGCAAGTTTCACAATTTGTTCAGCTGTATAACCTCCAAAAAATGCACATGTAGATGAGCAATATGTTTGTGGAAGCAATGTCAAAATCTCACCTAAACATTATTATTTTATTTTTATTTGTTCCTCTTACATTTTCAAAGTGTTTTTAGGGGTTACTAAAACATTCTTATACGATTGGGGGTTAGAAGAAGGTCTTTATCTTTAGTGTTTATGTATAACATGTTCTATATTTTGTCTATGCATGATTATGCATGATTATCACAACTCAGTGATTTTGAGAATAACTCACAGCCACACTTTCTCTCATCAGTATATATAATGGTACTACTTTTTTTTTTTTTTTACAGTGCTCATGAAAAGTAGATCCATGCAGTTTCCCACAATTGTTATGCTAATGAGGCCCCTCTTCCATTGAGAAATCATTTTGTCAAGATCCACTCTCTTTGGATACAGAGGCTCTGTTTCAACTCTTTTTCCCATACATCCACTGAATGAATGATTATGAAGCCCTATTAAATACCCGCAGACACTGTAAAGCAGATTAACAGGGCTTTGCTCTGCCAGTCACATGCTCATGTTTCTTAACAGATGCACGTCTCAACTTGAATTTGTCCATGTACAATTGTTTATGGAAGTTATTCGGTTTTATTCGATTACGAAAGTTTGGAAACTTCGAATCGAAGATGAGTAAAATTAAATTGTTATGTTATATGTTCCATATTATGATTTCCTTGTATTACGGCCTCTTCACTGCAGTTATTCTAGTAGTGTATCAGTATATTTAATATAAACGTCCTGTAGGAATTCATATTTCTCCTATCATTTTCCAATGTCTCCATTCAAGGCGCATCAAATGATTGTATAACTCACACCACACTTTCTTTTCTTTCTTTCAATCTGTGCGATACTTCATGATTGTGCCTCCACATATTTGGATGCATGAATGATACATTCTGTGCACACATGCTGCCAGTCAAGAGATGTCCATTGTTTGGGTGAAAGTGGTCATTTTCACATCATTGTAACGCACTCAGACACATTAAAGAGATGAACTGCAGCGTCCCGGACAGGCCCCGAGGGGACCACCCACTTAGCAGAGTTTGTTCACTTTTGGTCAACATCTCTTCATCGCTCCGAGGCGACTCAGTGGCTCCGATGGGTTGCTTTTGATCCTGCGGGATATCAGCACAACCTATATTCCCTGGGTTTCATTTCTCTGAATGTATCCGAGGTCCTAAAAGACAGGCGGCTGTAACAGTCCTTTCGGTTTAAAACGCGTTTGTCTGGTGTTATTATCGGATATAGTGACGCACGGTGTTGCTGCAGAAAGCCGGGCAGATGTGAGCTTGAGTGCACCCTACAGTCCGTAATGGGTGCATACAGTGTGTGGGTGTGTAGCTGATAATAAACACAGGCACACTGTTTTTCTCTATCACACACACCCTTCAAGTACAATATATAGTGCAGGCCACTATGGAAATAGGTTACTGTATGTTAGCTTTTACAAGTGTTATTTTTAACATTTTTATGCACAAAACCTAATTTTCTTTCCTTCATTATGCAGTTGTAATGCTCTTATAGTTTTATTACGGACTAAAAAACAAACCAACCACATTCGACCACATCCATTTCAGTATTTGTCTGCCTTTGCAATGTTGTTGAAAAACAGCTGTAACCTATCAAGTCAGTTTCGCATGCCACTAATTACTCAGTTTTACAGACACTGAGCAGCCAGACCAGACACTCATCCATTGCATGTCAAATGGACTATAAGAAAACATGAGATTACACCTCACAACGGGCCGAAGCACAAGCTTCAACATGCGTCTGTGGAAACGTCTTCCTTTACTTTCAGCACTCTCGCCCTTTCTTGTCGAGTTTCTGGGTGTTGTGCTGGTTAGGGCTTAAACGTCATTAAGCTCACCATTGTTTGGTATAATGACTGTGAACGTGCTCGCAGGCCAAAGGCTACAGATTTCAGAGAAAACCTGCAGCGGCGTATTACTGAGTCAGAGTTTGGTCAGTGCTGTGGAGATGAACTCTTACTGTACATGATGTGCTTTCAGATTCATTCACTCACTGATGCAAGTGAAGAGAATGTAATAATTAACAGGATTTGACATTAATTTTGTTCCTTGTATAAATACAATACAGTGAGTTGATGAAAAGGAAGGTGGAGGTAAGGCCTGGTTGTTTCCACCAGACACATTTTGGATTCTGTGACACTTAAATAAGTTAAGAACCATGCATTGAACTATCCAGATAGAGTGTCAGTGTTTCCCTCTCTCCCCTTATGCCCATTGGCTTAGAAGTGACATCGACGTCCATCCTCAAATAACTTCAGTGGACATTTGTTCTCCTTTTTACTCGAGAATCTTTTAAGCAGACAACTCCTCAAAGGGCCTCTGCTGCTGCTGCTGCTGCTGCTGCTGCAGGCGTCATCATACACCAAAGCTGGGCATATTTTCTCTCTTTGTGTCCCCTCTCAGCTTTCGTGTAAGATAACAAGGAGACGATGCATGACTGTACACGGCAGCGAGACACCGCATTCACATCACCGTTTACAGCACCTTGTCGAAAAAACGCTCAAGAATGTATGCATGCGTGGAACCAGAGACCTGCAGTTAAACCAAAGAAATGTCATCACCCATGAGAGGCTGACTCTTCGCTTGGGCTTCCTCCACCTCTTGGAGCAAGTCCTTGCAGGTTGACTGAGGGGCAAATCCAGACACGCTATAGTGAAGGAGGGGCAACTGAACTCACATTAATAACTCCTGCAGCCTTTTTTTTTTCTTTTTTTTACCCTGATGCACTTATTTTTGGAAGGGGAGATAGACAAATATTTAATTAATAACATTTATTTCGCACAAGAAAATAGTCAACGACAGCTAAGATGTTGCTCTAATTAAAGGGCTGATTAAATGACATAGGGACTAAAGCAAAAGTAAAGTTCAGGGTAGATGCAATTGCAACAGAAAGCAAGAAGGCCTCTGGCAATGGCTCACCTCGTTGAGCCAGTAGGTTGAGTCGACTGCACAATATATAATCGTCCTTTCTACAGCCATCAAAGAAAGACAAACACACCTTCAGCGTTGCGACACGTCTCTTCTATAAACCATTTCCTGTCCCCAGTCGATCTATCGACTGCTCTATGCATCACCGAGGAAATGCAAACACTCATAAACAGACTGCACCCAGTCACTTAATCAGTACGTTGACAACAAGCTTTATTGGGTTCATTTCGATTTTGGTACCAAAGTAGCTTCCATCAAATTATGATTTTACTATATAAAATAAATAGAGAATGAGAAAACATTTGAAAAGAAAAAACAATCTCATCCAAATCTACAGTGTATATTTTGTGACAATTATAAGAAGGGCTTTCTTTCAGTGAATAAAAAAACAAATTGAAGCCAGTATTATTTTCAAAGGCACTTATAATTTGTTTGCTCAAATAGTTATTTCATAACAAAGTGCTCTCGTCCAAGCAGATGGCAAAAAAAAATACAAAACTACTTTCAAATCACCAACTTAAAAACTCTGTTTAGTCCAATTCTGCTGAGAGGATGTACTGCCTCTGCAGTCCACTGCTGCTGATCTGTTAGCTCTTGGAGATAGTCGAGGGGGCATGTATAGTTCTAAAGGGGACTAACCTCATTTTACTGATAAAGTGGTGTGTATTACAGTATGACAGCACAGGTATAATGCACTGATGGGAGAAGAAGACCACTGTGGACCACGCCGAAATTCAGGATTTCTTCTGGTACCGAGAGCGGCTGTTTGCTGAGGATGCGTGATGCTTGTGATGGTTTGTGGCTTTCACTTCCCTCGTCTGAAAACAGTGGAAGAAGGCAAGTAATAAAACATGTTCAGCAGAGTCCTCTTATGTGTTGAAGCATGCAACGAATCCATTAGAAATTCATACTTACAGAGGGTGCATCAATAAGTACGAGACCACACGAACCGGTATCACCCCCCACGTGTTCCCACACACCTACAAAGAGGAACAGGTGGTTGCTCTGTATTGAAATGGCGACACATATTAATGGCCGAACAGCCTTTACAAAGTGCTCACAGTACAGCTGGTGGTTGAGTCTGTCTAGAGAGAGGAGAATTTTCTGCTCTTCCAATGAAATGGCCGTGAGTCCCTGCTGCTGGCAGCGCCGCTGTGCTGTGCCAGGCCTCTGTGTTTGGGCTGTTTCCACGGCAGCCACAATGTCCGATTCCTCCAGCAAGCCTCCAGCACGTCCTTCGGCCAGGTGTAACCGGGCCGCACTCACCACACCTGAGAGCACAGATCAAAGTCACCTCAAAGGCTTTCGTTTGTTGTGGCTTTTTATGCATTTATGTGTAGAATAAAGATGCGCTGTTATCTTTCTCAAAGTCTGGTGTGTTGCAAAAATACTTATGGTACAGTATTGGCTCAGATTATTCATTTTACTTTTATGAACTTTTGGGTACTTTGGGTTATTTTTGGTTAAAAAGCGTAAACACAAAGACACAGTGAACACTATACCTTCATATGGAAAGGCCATGTTGTAAGTACTGGAAAACGGTCTGACTGGCTCCGTAGTCCGTCTTGTTGGCTGCACAAAACAAATGAAACATTTAGAAGTCTTATATGAACCTTAAATAATAGCCATGTAGCCTATAGTACACTGCAAAAAAAAAAAATCTCGTTGATGGACATGAAGCACAAAGAACAGGTAAAGCGAGTTGTAAACAAAAACATTACGCATCAACGCTTATTTAATTGTAAAACCCTGACGACTCAAGTCCATCCGGAAAGTCTCGTCTTGGGAAGCATATATCGTGTCGTGCAGTCAGTTTTAGAAACACTAAGGACGGCATGACTGCAAAAAAACTGATTCAACAAGTTCAAACACACCCATTTACTGATCTTCAGCGCTTATTCTCACTCTTCTTCCCCAACGGGGCGCCTGCATGCATGTACCTGAGAGGGCGGAGGAAGCCTCCTGTTCCCTGAGCCGGGACACTGTCTGCTCTGATCCGCGCAGGGTTTCCCCACAACTCGCTCGTCGTCCAGGGCCTGTTGTCGAAGCATGTTTTTTGCTGAAAGAAGATGTATTAGCTGGAATCATTAAAAAAAAACACACACACACACACACACACACACACACACACACACACACACACA